TGGGAGAGAAGCAAGGGGCACCGGCCCTAACCCCTCAGAGTGTTCTAAGACTCTAGCAGAACAGCCTCTCTACTATTCTTTGAGAAGTGGCAAGAGGCCAAAGTGTCTCAGGAGTTGCAGCTAACCAACTCTGACAGCAACTGCAGTGTATGAAGGCCTGCCCTATGGTCAATCTTAAAGTAAGGTTTCTCTCTATATTGGAGATTCTTAGAAAAAATCATTTCACCCTTCATGTAAAATAAGCCCAGCGCTGAGAGACCTCACAAAGGATACTCACAGCTTTGTAAGTATGTTCTCCACACTGCTCTGAAGTGCAGGTTTCAGTGACTTCTCCGTTTTTCTGGAAAATCCCTATCTGGGTGCAGTATCCCACCTCTTCAGCACCTGCTGGTGGTTCCCCTACACCAGTAAATTCCACGGAGTAATTGTAGCGATTTGCCACATCTAAAGCCCTGAAGTTAAAGAGAGAAGTCATTTTCCTAAACTTGGAGCTATTGGTAAATGAACAATAACCAGTAGAATATGAAGACATGTGGGCCTCCCTGGTGGCCTAGGCTATGGCCTGAGTTTGCTCCCAGCCAGGGAGCGACCTACAGGGTGCAGGAGACCTCTCCTGTCACCCTGCTGCTCCCCTGTGCAGTGTATTTCAGTAGTATGCTTGTTCTGCTCCCTACTCTTTATCTCTCACCCCCATACCTGTGGCCTACACCCCAGTTCTTAAATGATGTAAAGTAAATCTAAAAAAAAAAAAAAAACACCTCATTTTTAAATAAATAAATAAAATTAAGATGAAGTGCTGCTTACTTAAACATGTTTTAAAGAAAAAAATGAGAGGAGGCACTCCCTGGTGGCACAACAGCTTAAAATTTAGCGTGACACTATGAAGCTGGCCGCAGCCACTGCTTCATGAGTTCAATTTCTGGCCAGGGAACTGACCCACATGGCACAGCAGACCTCTCCTGTCTCACCCACTGCTCCCCTCAGCAGTGTATTTCAGTCAGTCTGCCTGTTCTGCTCCCCACTCTGTCGCTAGTGAATAATCTCACTGCCCCTACACCTCTGGCCTGTGCCCCAGTTCAGTATGCACAAATAAATAAATCTTAAAAACAACAACAACAACAAAAGATTTATACCATAGGACCTTTAAAACTCCTATGGGACCTCAGAAACCTATGAACTCACCAGGTCTGAAACTGCGTCCTACTCCACTCAAATTTGTGATCAGAATCTCTTAGTGTCACTGTTGGAAAAAGGGGGTTAAATTCAGAGTTTGGGGTGCTGATGACTACCATAGATGGAGACAAGTATCCAAATACAACTTTGGGGAACCTGGTCAGGTCTTCTGAATCCAAATGTTCTATCCTGAAATGGTGAATGGGAAAGACACAGTAAAAATCTAGCTTCACCTGCAACTATTTTCCTAATTGACTTAGCAAAACCATTTCTCTCTCTATTTGATTTACCCTCCTTTGCACATATAACAGTAGGCACATGACCAAAAAATAATGATTCCCAGACTAGACATTTTTCCAAAGAAAAGATACAAATGGCCATTAGGTACGTGAAAAAGATGGCCTCTTCACTGGGAAAATGGAGGAAGGGGGACTGGTTACTGAATGCCCCTTAAGACATAGGCACTGAGGGCCCTCCCTGGTGGCGCAACGGGTCAAAGCACAGCACTATGAAGCCAGCCACAACTGCTTCAGCATGAGCTCCATCCCCAGCCAGGGAGCTGACCCACAAGGTGCAGCAGACCTCTCATGACCCACCCACTGCTCCCCTCAGCAGTGTACTTCATTGATCTGCCTGTTCTGGTCCCTACTCTGTCTCTGGTGAATCCTCTCACCACCCCTGCTGTTTTGGCCTGTACCCCAGTTCTGTATGAATTAAAAAATAAATCTTTTAAAAAAAAGAAAAGACATCCGCACTGGATTTATTATGGGTAAAACCAACCCTTAAATGGTTCAGAAAAGAAAACTGTATGTGTGGAGGGAGAGAGGGAGTGGGGAGAAAAGGAGCTACAGATGTACAAATGAAAACGAAAATGAGGGAAATGTTAACAATACATGAATCTGTATAAAGGGTATAAGGTATCTCTAGAGCTATTAATTATTTTTCTGCAACTTGTATGTAAATTTGAAATCACTTCCTCACAAAATGCTGAAAAAAGTCCAGCAAAAAGCCAATCCCTGATGGCACTCAGGTGACTTGGTGGTGGGAAGCCCACAGGGATTACAACTGAGATGGAAAAAGGCACAAAATAATGTAAACATAAACTATTATTAAAAAAAAGTACCAACTGACAAGCAATTTTCTTTACAAATAAGAATTAATATTAATATTATGAATGAACTATGTATTTGGAGCACTAAATTATCCAGACTAATTAGGTTTTTCAAATGAATTTATACAATCAGAACTAGTTTTATACTTACAATTCAATACATGTTATCAAGTCAAATCCAAGCAAACGAGAATCTCTCTCCACAGCAGAACCATGATACAAGGTAATAGTCAAATTCAGATCCCGGGGACTTAGGAAATCACCCATGAAAGGAGACAACTTACTCCTGGCAAAAGCATTAATGAAGAGGTAAGGAACACTTGAACACAACATTCTAGCTATAGAACTCTGAGGCTCTGAAAATTATTTTCTGCCCATACTGACAAGCCTGGTGTGGTCTATTTCCCATGTCGTGCTAAGAGCACCATGTCTTACAGTAATGTCCCCTCTGGGAAGAAACAGGCCAACAACAGCAAGATTTTGAATATCTGACATTGCTCTTACTGTTAATACTTTTGGTTTCCCAGTTCACTCTGGAGCAGTGATTTTTAATTCTTTGCAATTCCAAAGAAAAATATTCTTGAAACAGTTCTTGGGGGGTGGGGGGAGGAGGGGTGGCTGGGTGGCTGGGTGGATGGATGGGCAGGCAGGCAGAGACACAGGTAGGCAAAGATTAAGAGCTGCTCTGGTTTAAACTTGAAAGCAAAGCCCTGGGGTCTTTACCCAATACTCAGGACAACTTGTAAATTATCATGGTGTCCAGCATTAAAATAATTAAATCTTGCCATTTGAAATGGAATTTGTAATGCTTTGACTATAGTAAGCACTGAATTAAGGTTATACTTTCTACACTGGCAGAGTAAAACACAGGCATTATTTACAACATACAGAGCAATAAGTGATATCACAGTCATCTGGTGAGCCAGAGACTCTCTGAGTGTCAGTCTTTGAAAACAAGTTGTATTAAACCAACACCTCCTCTAAGTATACTGAGAAGTACCCCTACTTTTAGATTACCACACAGTTCTTCCAGCAAGTAGGTATTACCCTTTCCATTGTAATTTATCTTCATCAATATCTACTCCAACAAGCAGTTCAATACAACTGTGGAATTTTAACATCCATATTAGTGACGTATCACCACATCCCAAGTCTGCAACCTGTAAGTAAGTCAGAATGTTATTTCAAAGCTGCTGAAAGTCAGAAAAGCTAAATATGTTTTAAAAAAAATTTTTTTTTGAGAGGGAGTCACTATCAGGAAAAAAACATTGTATGGAAGGATCTTTTTAGGTAAAAAAAAAAAAAGTGCACAGAGAAGAAATTAATCTGAGATAGTATAAATATGGGAGGCAAAAATAAATACTATCAATTGCCCATGACCTACCGAAAGCGTATTTACACTTTTAAAAGAAACTCCTCTTATTCAGATGGGAATCATGTACCTGGCCCAGGCACACTACACATGAAATGCAGGTGTCCCAGGAGAGGAAGCTTTGTCCTTCTGGGCAGCTTCATGAATTTTTAGAAGGTTGCCCTTGACCAGTCCATCACAACTCATAAACACAATTTTGTTAATCTAATACCCTTACTATATCTCCATATGCTTCATATTCTTCATTATTCTTACACATTTTTATTAAATCTGTTTTTCCTAATAATACAATAAAGTCATCATTAACCAGAGAAGAATTACCTAAATTCTGAACTCCACTATTAGAGAAAAAGACAAATGAAAATAAAACACCAACATTTGATAGCACCCACATACAAAAAGGTTTCCCAATCAGCCTGCAGAACAGTTGTCTCTGATCTAGCTGGTATCTCGATTTCAACCCCACTTTGTAAAATCAGACCATGAATTCTGAGCATTTACCAGCTGTTTTCCAAGAAATACTGCTAATCCCCCTGCAGAAATACAATAATACATCTAATACTACATCTTAGTAGTAAAGGTATCATATTTAACCTAATTTTTCCTCAAATGTGTTTGACCACAGAACTTTTGCATTGAACATGCTAGTAGCCTTGCAATCTAAAAGTACCAACTTTGCACACATTCATTAATATTCCTGTTTTACATAGGGATATTCATAGACACTGGGAAAAGGGAAAAAAGTTCTAGAAAGCAAATGATAACCTTAAGAGAGCATCAAACGGACTACTTTTTATGTATATATCCAATGGTTAATATATAGCCCACATCAATGTACTAGGTTATTTTGCAAATAACCTAGCAAAAAAAGAAGTTCATCAATTTTAACTATAAAATACATTGGAGAAAAGTAAACTAACAATCATCTTCCTTAAGTCTATCATTCTTCAACCTATAACCTTCCCTGGTGAATTCAGATGTTCACTGGGCTAGCCTGTGAACCACCATGGCCTGGGAATGCACTCAGCGCTGATTCAGAAGGGGGCTGCTTTACCCAGACAGAATTCAAGGAGGACAGAGCAGTGCCAAGACTCATCATGAGGCTTTGTAAAAAGTAAGAATGGATGCCAAGGCCTTCATACCTGTCCCCTGTCACTCCAGTCCACCCCAGCAGCTGAGTAGCAAAGCATCCTGGAACAAGGTGATCTTTGAGTAACTACAGCAATTACACAGCGTATAAGACCTTAGAGAGTCAAAGAAGACTGGTCAAAAAGAGGGCAGTAAGCCCAAAGAAAGGAGCCCATGGGATCAGAAGAGCTCCTGCTACAATTTTTTAAACTTTCTCCTTAACTTTTATAGCATAACTCCTATTCCCAAAGATATTGCCTATGTTAAAAAAAAATGAGAAAAGATTAGGTCCATAATTTTCCCATTCAGAATCAGAATTTGAGTCTTGAAATAGTCTCAGCCAATGCTTCAACAAAGAAGTACTTTCTTTGCTTTCATTCATCTCCCATGCAGGTGACAGTCATTTATCTGACAGAACATTAAGTCAAACCCTCTGAATTATCATATTGAACTTGGAATGGCAAAAAAAAGGGCAATTTTAAGTGCTTCGACTAAGTACATATGCTTTGATGGCTATCAAGATACAACTGGAATGTGACATGTGACTGTAAAGACTACAGAGATGCAGTTAAAATAAGCAAAGCCTTAAATACGAGTCTTCATCAAGCCTTGAAGCAAGAAAAAAGAAATGTTATCTAAAAATAAACGTTACCTATAAGTTCAACCTACCAGCACCTAGACTACACCCACCAGCCGGTTCATAGTTCAATAACCAGGCTATCTACAGCAGATGACCACATGCTATATGAAACTGTATCTGTCCTCTGAAACTATCAATAGCTGAGCAGCTCCATTATCATCTAATTCAAAAGAACCACAGTACCTGTTGTCAAGTCTGGCTGCCTTGAAGTTCCAACTATACTCTCTAGAATTGTGGAATCTACAAGATCACAAACTACTATCAAGATTTTCTTCACATCTGAAATGGGCAATGCCAGATTTTACTGTGCCCTGTGATCCTGGCAAATGGGAAAGGATCCTCTCTGCTTCTTGTTCCCAGAAAGGGCTTACTGAAAATCACCACCTTCCCCCAGACTCAAAGACACAGCCAACGCTCCCCTTCTTCACCTTGAACTATCAGCTTAAGTACTCGCCCCACCAGCTAACTGGAACAAAACTGTGGTTAATGAAACTTTAGGCTTCTTCCCTTCTTCTCCTGGGCCATTGCACTGCCCTCCACCTGAGAAAGCAAGCAGCCTCAACTCCTGGTAAGCAGGCTGGTTTCAAGGTAACACATTCTAATATCTAGTCACACCACCCTTTTATCCCACCTTCCCTCACCCCATTCTTTCCAGCTTAGTTTACTCCCTTCTGTAACAAAAAACCCTTTTTGCCCAACTATTGAACATGTAGATCTTACACCACCCTGTTCTCCTGATTACAATAACAGCTTTCCCTCCTTTCCAGCATCTTTTCAAAAAGTCACTGCCTACTTATTATGTCCTTAAGAATTTTTATTTGATGAAGTATGTCATCAAGCAGTCTCTAGAATTACTTAGGAAGAGAAATACATACCTTCTTGGGTTTATGTTGATTCACCAAGTTTTTAACGAAGTAGTAACGCTGTCTGTATAGCGGAGGTTTAAACTCAATTACCTTCTTTTTAGGAACTTCTTCAAAATTATCATGTACCACACCATTGTCCTAAAAACAACAACCAATAAAAGACCTCAGGAGTTAATAAGGGAAAATATAGCTCCCCCACCCCTCCCCCTCAGAGAACATGTCAACTGTTCCAGCCCCTTTGTGTCCTAAAAGCATTAGGAAGCACTCCATTTCCTCCACAGTTCATCAAAGCCTCCTCTCAACTCCTTTTATTAAGAATCTGGCTTTATGCTTCCTATAGCTAAGAGCTGGTTGAACGGTAGTTGTGTATATATTTAATAAAGCAGTTACAAATCTACTACCCACAAGCCAAAGGTTGTGGGGCAGGTAAGATGGCTGAAAACTACTAATAGCCAACAAAGAACCTCCTTGATCAAAATTAAGTTAGGCTCTCTTCTCTCAAGGCCTCTACCACACCTACCCTGTCTTTCCATAGCCCAGTTTAATCAGAATTCTCAGTCACTTTAGACAGAATTCACTTCTGATCAGACTATATCTGATGCAATTCTTTATCCCCCACCCTTGATATCTGATCCCCCTGGCCTGTCTTTAGCAAGGATCCCCAAACCCTTCATGTCTCCTCTTAATATTGTTTCACCCACTGACTGCTCATTCTGCATATAGGCTATAAATTCCCAGCTGTCTTTGTTGTATTTGGAGTGAAGCCTAATCTCCTTCCCCTACTGCAAAGCTCTGATGGCAACAGCCCTAAATAAAGACTTCCTTTTTTAAATAAAGGCCTTTTTACAAGGGTCAGAATTGATTTTTAATACAATTCCACTAGAAAAAAAAGGAATTATGGTGATCCTATACATATGCCTTCAAATCATATAATGATGTAAATCAATCTTACTTCAGTGAAAAAAAGCTAAAAATGGAATTATATGATTAATCCATAACTAGTTCTACTGTTCCTAAATACCAGTAGCAAAGGAGTAGAGTCCAAAAGTCATTTTAATATCCAGAGTGAAGCTGCCCAATGGAAATAAAATACATGCAATTTGCAGTATACATGTTAAAAATGTTTTAAGGTATAACTGCAATATTTTACAACATATCTACATCATTTCAACATGAAAAAGATTATTTTCAATGTTATCTGCAAAATCCAGTGTATATTTAACACTTCTGCATTCAACATCCAATTTTTAAATCAGAACCACGTAATCTGTACTTGGATTTCAAAAGATTTACAGATGACTAGATTCACATACCCAAATTATTCCAAACACTCTTAAAACTTCCCCAAGAATGAAAATGCGTGTTTATTTTTTTAACTGAAATAAAGTTCAGTTCTTCACTGGCCCATTTCAAGTCCTCCATAGTCATGTGTGGTAACTGGCTGCCTACTGGACAGTACAGATCTAAGCTTAGATACTATTAATATGGTTCCCAAATCAATGGCAATTTTCTCAGGAAATTTCAATCAGAATCTACAGGAAAAATCCCCAGATGATTCAAAGAGCACACTAACAACAGAAAAATACATTTTAGGCTGCTTTAAAGTACATTTTGTTACTTAAAATATCAACTAATGAATGGGAAGCCCACGGAGATTGCAACTGAGATGGAAAAAGGCACAAAATTATGTAAAAATAAACGATTATATTATTTGTTACATGTTAAAAAATTTTTAAAAATCAACTAATGATAAAAACGCTTATTTCACTTTATACCAAATGTGGAATTTCACCTTATGTAGATGAAATTTAACTCAACCAACATGCCAGAAATGCTAGGAGCTAACTGTGAGGGCTTTTGCTTACCACAGTACATTGTGGAGGTAACTTTTGGGAGTCACAGTTAAGAAGGGCAGTATTACCTCTGAATTTTCTTCCATTTTGTTTCCAGGTTTTGTCGAAACAAATGCACGGCTGTATCCTTCAAGCTCTATGAATGAGCAATGACTTTGCTGTATACAATATTTTAGTTTTTACAAAGCGCAAACCTGGAAGAAATATCTGCTTGAATCAATACGAAACAGAGCTCAGGCTCTCTCCCTTCTCTTTATATGTTAGCATTTAACCCACAGAATTTATTCGGTAAGTACTGTTTCAGATAATGGCAATAAGGCTCACAGAGCGTTAGTCATTTTTCACTAAGCCAAACAAACCGAACGCAGTCACAGGCATTCTTTCACTATTAATTTAATTTGACCCAAACTGAATAACCCTGTGGGTTCAGTCTATTTTATTAAGGCTCTCGCGCTCACTCCGATTGTTTTCGATTACTCCGTCATACTTGGGGCAAAATGAAATGTCGCGGGACAAGAATTGACTAAGTTAAATTCACTTTAGCCACTTGAATTTAAACCTTGGTTTTCCATTGCACAGCGGACTCAAATAAAATTTAGTCTAAAACGCAGGCAGACGACTTTCGAGTTATTCCCGTAACTCAGAATCCGACATCCGCCTCGTGCGAGCCAACGTTACGGTCTCCGTAGAACACGGGTCGTCTCACCTATTACCTTTGCGTACCAAGCACATCCAGGTGGAAAAGCAGCGGCGCCCGCCGGGAGTGTCGCGCAGAGCCGCGGCCGCACGCACCCCGGGCCCCGCCCCTACGCACCTCGGGCCCCGCCCCCGACGCCCGCGCACGTGACGTTACCCGCCGGCGGCCACACCTGCGCCGCGGGCCCTCCAGGGGCTGCCGCGGCGCTCTCCCGCCGTCGGGAGCCGCGCTGGTCGCGCAGCACCATTGCCCGGGGTCCCGGCCCCTCAGCGTCGGTTTTGCTGCTCTCAACGGCCGCGGTGGCGCATGCGCCCGAGCCATTTTCCAGGTCTTTATCCGAACCTTGTCGGGGACCATGGTGTCTCCACGTTCCCCGCCCGCGCGCGATCGCAGCCTGCCCCCGGCCGGCGCCGCGACTGTTGGACCGAGGCGGCGCCGCACCTGGCGCTTCCGCGCGTCTCGAGCAGGGCGGCTGCTCGGCGGCTGTTGGGTGCGTGGTTCTCCCCGTGCGCAACAAAGAGCTGCAAACGGTTCCGGCCAGAGGGAGGCGGCGGCGGCAGCGACCCGGCTGCGCGCGAGCGATGGTGGCCAGTGTCCGAGTCAGCCGATTCCCAGGACGATCCCCAAGGATTGGGGAAACTGGAGGCTGCGTAAAATTGGTCCAGTACCATCTCAGCTTGGGGGGTGGGGGGGTTGGAGGGGCCTTCACCAAATAAGGGATCAGGGAGCTAAATAAATGAATATACGAATAAATAAATACATGAGTAAATAAATATATAAATGTTAACAAGCAACTACAAATTGGAGACAAACAAGGGAGGGATCAAAACTAGGGAGGGAAGCGCACAAAGGACTATGGTGATGGTGTAGGGGTATTGGTGGTGGGAATTTTACGGGACTGCACCTGAGAGGAGAAAGCAAACATGGTACAAAAATGAACAATGATGTAAATATATATAAATGATAATAAAAAAATAAACTTCCAGCTCCCAAATTCTCAGTGGGTTATTTCTACCTGCTGGGAATGCAACAGTCAGCTCTTTTAGAAAAGTTAACTGTCATGCATGTCCACCTTTACCTGTGAAAATTCAACTTGATACTTCATAAATAAGTTCTTTCTAGAGTGTAATGGGCCAGTATAAGGAGGAGACATGAAACTGCCTTCTTCAGGGAAGAAAAGATTTCACTCCTGTTTCGAAAGACTGAAAAAGGGGCTGACTAATGAATGAATGCGTGGCTGCTTAATATTCTGTGAATGATAACACTGAAACTGTATTTTCAAGTACCCCCTATTATATGCAAAGCACAGTGCTAACAGCTTTGGGATGTCACAAAGATAAATTTTTGGCATTTTGTGGAGTCTAGTCTCAGGGGAAAAAAATATGTAACTCATGTTACACAAGAATGGGAAGAGTACAGGGGAGAGAGGGAAGGAACCTCCTGTTATCAGCTCCTGAGAGCCCACCCAGGATACCTCCAGTAGTCAAAGTAGACTGGTGGCTGTGAGACTAAGGGAGGAAGAGAATAAAAGTTACTGTTTAATGAGTAAGAGTTGCATTTTGAGATGGAGAAGTTCTACAGATGGAAGGGGGTGATGGTTGTACAGCAGTGTGGATGTGCTTAATGATGTTGATTTGGAGAGGTGTTGGATTCAGAAAAAAGACTTCTGGGGTTATCTCTGAGAAAAGTGTCACCAGAGCTCCCCTTTTAGAAGCACATGGTGTGAGTTTCCCCACCAAGCAGATAGGTATAATAAAGGGCAGATTTATTATAAAAAGGAAAATAGAGGATGTTTGCAAAGACAGAAGCAGACAGAAAAGCTGCCCCAAAAGAGATGCCTGCATAGACATCTCTTAGGATGGAGAGCTGCCTCTGCTGTTTTGCAAAGGGGGAAAGTTGGACAGTCATAGATGGCCAGGAGAGCTGTGTTTGGAATTGACAGCGATACAAGGCAGCCGGAGGCACTGAAACTGGCCAAAGACACTGCCCAAGTAGTTTACTGGTCACTGAGTTCTTCACTCACTCATACAATTGCAAGACTACTCAGACTCAGGGAACAACAATGGGATTTACTGAACAAAGCAGGGAAAAACAAAGCTACTGAGGCCAAAGGTGGCCACTTACTTCACCGGAAGGGGTGTCCAGTGTTTTGCAGTTCTAAACAAAAGCAGCAAAGTTGGGGTTTTGTCACCAGTGAGGGCTCAGAACTCCTCTCAGGAACAATAGGCCAGGTGTCCAAGATGGCATCTTCCTGTTTCCGACAACCAGGAGCACGCAGCTGCCAGACTCCAGACCATAATCCGACTCACAAAAAACAAGAGATGTTCCTGGAGCTGCTGGGATACCCCATTGCAGACAAGCAACACTCAAAACAGCAGCTGCAGCAGTTGAACCACCTGACAAATGAGCCACCTTCATGCAGCTCAGTGAGGAGCCCTGCTCCAGCTCCAGGCCTCCTACTCTTCTGCCAGCTGTAACAGCAGCAAAAGCCGGAGCAATTTCATTGCGCTGCTACTTGCAAAGCCTCTGAACTTTCCCTCTCTGAGGTTGGCTGCAGGAGGCCACCACATTCAAAAGACCCTGAACAGCAGGGAGATCTGCTTGGTGGGGCCAAAATCTGCTGACCCCAAATGCTGAAGATCCAAAACCAGCAGAATCTCGAAGACTGACTCCATCCCTGCCTGCTTCTGCAATCCCTTATATTTCTTATCCATTGCTCCACCCGGCTAAATGGGTATTTTTTATTACTTTCCCTGGGGCTACCTGTACTTAACAGCAGCTTCCTCCAGGGGGCACCACCTGTAAAAGCCTATGGTTTCAGCCACTGGTTATAGTAGATGAAAAAAGAGCTGTGAAGACACAGCAGGCAGGAAAGCTACATTTTGCCACAGCAGAAACCCTTCTGATACAGAAGGGTTCATTCCTTCATGGATGTTATCTATTGTTTAACTATTTCAGGGTCTGACTGGGTTGATTTGTAAGAACCAGTGATTTTCTGCAATGGCCCTCAATCTCCACATCCCCACCACTGGTCTATGCCTCCAGACACTTTGCTACACCATTAGCTATAGCATTTGGTGCCTACGGATTTTTCACTTCTATAACTAGTTCTATGATGTTAATCATCTCTACTCTCACCCCCATTTTCTGGTCTTGTGATGACTTTCTCCCAAATTTTCTGCTCTTAGCCTCCATCACTTACTACCACTCAACTGTATGTTTGGAAATGGTTCTCGGTTATGCATATTTTCCCAGAACTTTTTTTTAAAAGTTAAAGAAAAAATTTATGTTAATAAATGATTGACACAGGATTCCCAAATCTAGAGTTTTGGCTTTATCTGCTAGTTGACTCGGTTATAAACTTGAATTCGCATATCCGATTTCCTCTCCATATTTGCCTGTTACATCATCTCTTGGTCTTCCACTTCCTCAGAGCTTGAAAATCATCCCTGGCTTTACTCTTTTCTACATTTGGACAATCACCAAATCTTCATCTCTTCAAGCTGTCATTGCATATGTTCCTTCCCACAGCCAATACCTTAATTTAACCTTTATCATCTCATTTACTCAGCATACTTAACTTACCTTCCACTGCTAGATTGTAAATTCCACTGAGATAAAAAACCAGGTTACCCATTTCCAGAATGGATTTTAGTCAGAAAGGCCCTAAATTTTGATTTGACTATTTATTCTCCCTTGCTTACCCCCTTTTTAGGTTTTTTTTTAGGTTTGTTTTTTTTTTTTTTAAGTTGTAAAGTGAGAGTTAAATGAGATTGTCAAGTCCTGGTTTGAGTGAAAAAGACAAAGATTTTTTCTTTCCCTTACCACTCTGATAGTCCAGCAAGTGTTGGTGTTTGTCACACTACAAGTGACCAAAAGTTATCCTGGATGCTAACTTGAATCTGGATGCTCAAAAATGAGGAAATACTTAGCAGACTTGGGAGATGATGCTTGAGTATCTCATGCAGGCAAAAGGCAGGTAACCTGCCTGTGGTCAGAAGAAAGATGGTGACAAACTGAGATGCACCCTTCCTTTACCACTCCTGTTGTGAATGGGGTCTATTTCTTTCGGATCTGGAGGAACTCTGTGATTTCACCAATGGGTAGCATAGTGACAGTTGCGGCCCAGGTGTTAAGAAACTGACAGCTTCTTAGAACACCCACTTTTGGAATCCAGAAGACTTGCTGTGAGAAAGACCACTCAGCCTCATGGTGAGGCCCATGTGCGGAGAAAATCAAAATGCCTACACCCTCTCCCTGACTGACAGACAGCATAACCTTGCTGGTGAATCTGTGAATTGTTTCAGTAGTGACACCTACAGACCCAGTTGAGCCACTCAGGCTAACTGCCTGGGGGCTGCAGCTTTGTCTGCTTGGACAGAGACCTGAAGGCAGTGCTCTGCCAGTGACTGACTACATGGAGGGAGAAACAGTAACTCGTTTGCCTCAAATTTGAACAACAGTGGAGTGTAATGCTCTATCCAGCTTAAGCTATTCACAGGATATTGTCATTCCCTTTTTTCTGTCCTGTCTTCCCTCTCCCATATCAGCTTCTTCTGCTAAATTACACATAATTTACACACATATCTTCATACTCAATGCCTGGCTCTGGGGACTGACAGGATACAACCGCGCTGGTAGAGAATGAATATGAGGACAGCAGGAGCGGAGCAAGGTGAGCACCTAGAAGTCCATTTCAGTGAGTCAGCAGAGGTGGGAGAGTGCCCCAGACTATGCGATGGCAGAGAGGACGGGATGATGTAGACAGAGTCCAAATATGTCTGGAAGCGAAAACTTAGGGGACTTCAAAATAGAGTGGTTGGGGCCTTCCTGGTGGCCTAGGGGTTCTCAGCACTATCACTGCTAAGGCCTGTGTTTGATCCTGGCCAGGGAGCTGACCATGGCCCAGGAGATCTCTCCTGTCTTGCCCACTGCTCCCCTCAGCAGTGTATTTCAGTAGATCCACCTGTTCTGCTCCCCATTGTCTCTAGTGAATCCTCTCACCTTCCCACCCCCCCACACACCTTTAGCCTATCCCCCAGTTCTTTTTTTTTTAAGATGTTACTTATTTTTGCATACAGAAATGGGGTACAGGCCAGATGTGCAGGGGCAGCAAGAGGATTCACCAGAAACAGGGAGCAGAACAGGCAGATCGACAAAGTGCACTGCTGAGAGGAGCAGCGGGAGAGATGGGAGAGGTCTGCAGCACCATGCAGAGCACCCAGGGGGTGGGGATCGAACTCCCGCTGAAGCAGCCACAACTTGGCTTAGCTTCGCAGTGCGGCTCTCTAACCCACTGCGTCATTAGGGAGGCCCTATCCTGCAGTTCTTACATGCATCAATAAATAAATCTTTGAATAAAAAAATAGCGCTGTTGGTTGTAAGGGGTGAAGAGAAGCAGCAAGAGTATTTCCAGATTCTTGGTTTGATCAACTAGGAGGATAGAGTTACCATCACTCTGTGGGAAAGGCTGTGGGGATTAGAAAGCGTTGAAACACTCTGAAATCTATCAAGCTGAGGTGGCCAAGTGCAGGTTAAAAGTACAAACTGATAAAAGGACAAAATGACATCTGAATCACTTTTTCACTACTTAAAATAAAAATCGG